GTCCTGTGCTGGACTACGAACCTGTCCAGGGTGTCCCCTACCTCTCAGTAGCTCTCATCTGAAGAAAAACWTTTTTGAAAGGTATGCAAACTTTGTAATCCTGGAGAATGAGTTGTACTAGAACTGGATTATTGATTTCTTAAGCTGATCTGTGTCCACTTATATTGTGGGAAATCATCAACCCCCACAAGCTTGAAGCTTTGCTGCTTCCAAAAAGATGACCAGGTTTGTTGTCTATGACTAATATCTGCAGTAACATTATAGCTAATTTTAAATTAAGAACAAATACATACGTGTGTAGAGTTGTCATTGCTAACATATCAATTTAAAATAACAAGTATTTGTGTGCATGTTGTGCTCAGTCCCTGGCTTACAATAAACAACGCTAAATTTAATTTCTCAGAGTTCACTGATCATTTAGCAAATCTAAAAATACTCATGCTTTATAACGTCTAGCAAAAGGAGCATTAAATGAATCCCAAGCTGTGATTCACAAGTAATTCAAAGTCAAAGCTGCTTCGATGAAATAACCCAAAAATGTTCTAAGTCTTTTGCCGATGCTTCATTTTTTTTATCAGCAAAAGGTGCAAAAAGAAAAGTTTTTTTTTCCAATCCCAAGATCTCCCTACTTTTCTAATTAGTTTTCCACTGAGTGCCAAATTCTTGCACAAACCAGTGTAATTTTATTGTATTCCTCCTTATGTTCAAACACAGCAATACTTTTTATAACATTGCTGAAAAAGCTGTTTGGTGAAAAGAATGTGCTCCTTTTAAATGTAAAACGGAGATATAATGGTTACGTTTCGTTTGAATCCTAACCATAAATATTTCTTGCTGAGCTGTTTGCATTTCTTAATGATTATATAAAATCTTATATAAAGCAGATGGAGAGTAAAAGAAAAGTTCAAAAAGGCAACCTGCATGTGTTATGGCTGATCACTTCAGGGCTGTGGCTGATTTAGTGTAATAAAAACATAACAGAGGACAAACATCTGCTTGGTGTAAAACTAAACTTTGTTTCCTGAGCTTTGACACTTCTCCAAAAAAACAAAAAAAAAACAAAAACAAACATCTGCCCACATAACTGAACTTAAGTCAGTGAGCTGACCAGGAGCCTGCTGTTCCCTATAAAGAGCTGTAAACTTAACATGACCACTTTAATATTTAGTTTGATTTATCAGTAGTCACATCGCGCAGTATTCTGCAATATGATGCGTTACAATGAAATATGATGCAATTCGATTACACTTTATTACCCCTTGAAGGRAATTTGTTTGGATGATGACAGGACTGCACAACCCCTGTATTACCAAGAGAGAAATTATGTCAGAACCTATTCCATTTTTAAKWYGGCATTTAAAATTTGAATTAAAATGGGGAGAWTTTTTTATTTTAATGATTAGGATTGCATTTTGGCAACTTCATTTTGTCAGCAGCCACGATGTTATGCATTTAAAGTAAGTAAATCCCGATGGAGAAATTAGTTCTCTGCCTCTTTCTATTGTACTTGTGGGCACACAGCAGAGGGATGCCATATAAGACAGCAGGTGGGGGCGGGGCAAATAAGGGTTGTCCACCCACGTTTTTGTTGTCAGTTTGGGGAGTTGAACCAGCAACCTTCCAATGACGGACTCACCTTTTTCAACCTCTGCGCCACAAGAAGACTGTGTTACCTGTCCAACAAAACKTTTTGCACCTATTTGAGCATGAACTGCTCATAAATGTTCTGAATGAAGATCTTATTAGTCTTTCATTTCACCTTTAGGACAGTTGTACGAGGTTCATCCATATTAAGACCTCTTCCCACAGGATGACAGTCAGATATATTCAAATGTATTTTCAGGGTTTGGGCAAAGTGTGCAATTTAAAAGGAGACATGCAGGAAAATTAACTTTTTTGGTCGTTAAATACATTTTGTTGTGTACTTGGAGTGGAGTCTTTAGTAGTGCAGAAAATATGAATTTAGTCTCTTCTGGTGTTTTGTAGATATCTTTATGTTCTGTTTTGTGTGACTTTTTTTCAGTTTTCTCAGACTCCCTCTACATCACATAAGGCTGGATGGACAAGTCTTCCATTGCTGACATATTTTAATTAATTTTAAAATAAAAAGCCTTTGCTATATAGTTTCCTCTATCCCCTAGCATACTAAAATGGACTACTCTGGAAGTCTCCTTTGATGAACCTGCCTCAGAATGAGTTGGTCTGAGTCACTTATCAGAAAGTGGGTGAAAGAGGGGCTTGTGGAGTTACAATAAGGAGAAATGCAAACCAAAGCATTGGAGTTCTACTTTATATAGACCCCAGCTGAATCATTTAAATGTGAAAAAAATTAAAGCATGACATTTCCTTTAAGCAAAAACTAAGCGAGGTAGTAGAGCTGAAGAAGTAGCAGTCATCATCAACACATCCAGAGATCTAAAAATGTTCTCGAGAACTAAACTTTGGCATGAGCAATGGGCGRTGAGTATTCCTTCAATAAATGCTGTTAATGCCATAGGCATAATTTGCAGGGGGGTTAGGGGGGTTACGACCCCCACAATAATTTGATCCAGTCAATATAACCCCCCCCCCCACCCCCAATAAAATGGCATCATTTGCTCAAACACAATAGAAATTAACTGGTTAAGTAGACAGATGCAACTCTCTTGTTGTCTTTAGGTAACTTTGACTTGATTTAAAAATGTACAATGTCGTTTTCAAGCATACCCCCCCAATGSTAGACTTAAAGTTACGCCCTTGGTTAATGCATGCTTTTTGTGAAATATTTGGGTCAAAACTCAGATTTTAGGAGAATTTTCTAGATGTGAAAAACCCACCAACTTAAAAAAACAAGATGTTTGCAAAAAATGTACAATAATATAAATAAAAAAAATACACAGTGAGGAAGACAGTAATAGAATTCAGTTTTGAGTGCTAATAATTCTCTTCAATCCTAAGTATTTGGGCTTGCTTCCATAAAGAGGACTAACATGAATGATTCGTTAAAATAATAATGAATGGGCTTCTATGAATGAACGCGCGCTCGGATATAGAGGAAGTAGGGCGCACCCCGCATCGCTCCGCGCGCGCGGCTGCTTTTCCGGGTCGCGGCCACCAAGCGACAGCAGTGTTTCTCCCTGGGAGTGAAGTCGCTCGAGCTCTCCGCTTGTGCTTGGTCACATGCTGATGAAGGTTTTTGAAGTGAAGCTTCATCACCCGACAAAAAGTGAATGGCACGCGGGAGCGCGAGTGAGTCCGAGGCGCGCAGAGAGCAGGGTTCTACCGGGCAGCTTCCAGAGAGAGAAAGAAGGAGAAAAAAGAAGAGTGGAAGAGAAAGGATGAAACCAGTGAGAGGTTACAGTTTGGAACCACCGGCGTCCACTTTGCTTTTCGGGACTCGCGGAGGGGGAGCGCGCGTGCAGGGTTGAATTCGGGCTCAGGTGGTGGTGGGGGAAAAGTTCCGCAGCTGTGTACAATGGTGATAAATGAGTCCCACCTGAACAACTCGTCGTCGGCAGAGTCCAGTGGCACCGCGTGGAGCCGCCCGCCGTGGGTCACCACAACTTTGGGCTGTTTTCTTATCTTCACCATCGTGGTGGACATCCTGGGCAACCTGCTGGTTATCTTCTCCGTCTATCGCAACAAGAAGCTCCGGAACGCAGGTGAGAAAACGAAACCAAACAACAACATAAACATAAGCCATGAAGGACACCTTTAGCTATAACTGTAAGAAAACATTTAACAAGTCAGATATTAATACAACCTTTTGTCGTCGGATCATTTTAATGGTTCCTTAGGGATAAAAAAAAAAAAAAAAAAACACCAGGTGCGCGCTCATAAGTCTGTTCCCTGTTTAGATTTTTTTGACGTTATCAACTTTGTCAGTTTTATGTTACAAACTTTAAAGATATTTTTAAGCTTAGTTATACTTTTAGTGCATTTTTCTTTTCTGGAGGCAGAGAGTCTATAGACACCAACTTTCTGGTCTGTTTTTGAGCGTGATCAAATTAGTTTTTACTCCACCAGGTAGCTCAGTTTCTCTGACCCGACAACAAAATGTTACAACCATAGGCGTAATTTGCAGGGGGGTTAGGGGGGTTATGACCCCCACAATAATTTGATCCAGTCAATATACCCCCCCCCCCCAATAAAATGGCATCATTTGCTCAAACACAATAGAAATTAACTGGTTAAGTAGGCAGATGCAACTCTCTTGTTGTCTTTAGGTAACTTTGACTTGATTTAAAAAATGTACAATGTCTTCAAGCATAACCCCCCCAATGGTAGACTTAAAGTTACGCCCTTGGTTACAACACCCGGCAGGAAGAATAAATAAATAAGTTGCCACTTTTGTTGTTTCAGTTGTTTAATTTTGTATGAAATGACTAAATCACAGACACGGCACAAAACTGTCAAAATCCCAACCTTCTGGCATTAAGAAACAATTWAAAAAAAGAGTTGCTTTTTAGGTCAAGTAGAGGGGAAAAATTGAATCATTATAATTTAGCAGTTTTTAAACCAACACCAACGCCATATTAAATCTGCTAATTATCCTGAAAACAAAACAAAACAAWACAAAAATTGTGCACACCTGCAGTAGCTGTTGCACAAAGCATGAATTATGGCTGCAACATGAGAGATGTCTCCTGAACCAAAGGAGAAAATTATGGAGATGGATTAAGAATGCAAATCGTCACACAATAATGCAAAAAAAAAAAAAAGATTATTAGAAGGGTTGACCCTGGTCAGCTGAAAAAAGGAAAGTGCACTGGTCAAAAACACGTTTGTGAGCCATCTGTAAGAAGTTGTCCAAAATAAATGAGATTTACACGCAGAAAAGTCAAATAAATCACATAATAACACCCAAACAAAAGGAAACAAGGTGACAGTGGGTTCAAGAAAAGCAATGGAGGACTGTGGGTGACTGGATGACCGTGTTATGTCAGGTAAAGACAGGTCAAGTCAATAAATACCAAGATCTAAATTGTAATTTTGGACACTTCTCCATAAGCTGACAGGTTGTTTGGTGATGATAAAGCATCTTGGCTTTGGGCAAAGGACATGAAAACCTTCAAGAAAGACACATGGTCAACAGCATGGCCTACAGATATCTCAGTCCATCCTAAAAACCTCTGGTGGAAATGAAAGAAAGCGGTCAAAGACAAGGCTTTAACCTTCAAAGCTGATTCAGCAGCAATAAGAGGCAGACTTTTGAAGAGCACGGCTCGTCATTAGTGGGGTCCATGTCATTGAGAATTCAAGCAGTGGTGRTGAAACAAAGTACTAACAGTGGTTTTCTTATGATTCCATTTTTTTTCTCTATTTAAATGAAAAAGGTGATTGTGACTGACTACAACAAACATATCTTTGTTTTTGGTTTCTTAATGCCAGAAGGCTAGAGTTTTGAAAATTGTAGTTTTGTGGCACATCTGTAATTTATTTATTATGTACAAAATTAAACAAACACTAAAAAAAGCATCCTCCAACTGAGGTCATTCCATAAATCTTGCCAGGGGTTGTACAATTAATATTCATACATGTGTGGATGGGTGGGCAGGGGTAAAAATGTGTCTGCCTTGCTTTGTGGAGGTGGTAAAACTTTGATGGCTTAATTAAACACCAGTCAGGTTCTTCTAGATCGAATTGTAGTACAGAGACCGCACTTATTTAAGATTAGAAATGAGCTAATAAGAATACTGTGATTCCTTCATTTCATAAACAGTTTGATTTGATAGAGAGATGAAGATAACTAAAGTAAAATGTTACGGGTTGCACAGTATCGTGCAAAGCGCCCATAACTTTGCAAGGATCAGACGATGATCAAGCACAAACTGCTTTTTTTGTCTTGTTCACAAGTTAAACCAAATACAGTAGATTAAAAGTTATTTATAAAGGTTTAAAAAAGGTTGCTTTTTATTTTGTAACTAAGAGTTTTAATTTGTGAAAGTATAAAACAATAAAAATGACACATCTAATACTTTATAAAAGTGGTTCTGGTTGTTAGGAAGTCATAATAAAGCAGATGGTTTTTTAAAATAACAGCTCATTTATGTTTGTAAGATTTCCTATTGTTACTGATAAAACTTTACAGATTGTTGAACATTAGTTTTTAAATTCTGATGATCTTGTAGAGAAGTCTGATTTTTGATGATCAAACTGAAATAAACTTGAGCCTATTTGCTTTTGTTTTTTTTGTTGGTCACTATGAATACTAACCCTCCTGCTGCCCTTGGGTCAAAATGACCCCTGAGATCTCAGTAAAATGCTGGCTTTAACACCAGATGTGTGTGAGCTGACAACACACTTCCTCTGGATCATGCCTCTGGAGCTCTGTCTCAACTTTCCATTCAGCTTTCCAAAGACGTGCATGTCTAACCCAAGGCTCCTCTAATTTTCTTTTCAAGAATCCACTTTCAAATTGTGTGTGCATCGACAGACGTATCGATTGATATAAAATCAGTTCTGGTCAGGCCTTAATCTCCATTTTGTTTTACCTGATTTAGAAGGAATCCAGTGCTCCAGACAGTTGTTTGACTTCACCTGTTGAAAAGTGAAAGTTGCCGTGTATTTTAACGGTTTCRTTTTTCCACGCAACATCAATTTAATTTCCTTTTTAGATGAAAACACGCACGTCTCCTTTGTGGATAAACATTAGGGCAGATTTTCTGGCATGTGTTAAACATTAGAACCTGCCCGTCAGTCTGTCTAGAAGAGGCTGCATTAAAGAGCGAGTAATGAAGTGTCCCGAATGGAGGACCTGGCAGGCAGCGTGGTCACATATTGCAGGTTGCAGCAGAACTTCTGTTGTCTCTGCATGACCAAACCCTCTGCTGGTGCATGAAATAACCAGCGATGGCGCAAGCCAGCAGCCAACAACACATATGAGCAGCTCTGAGCTGCACGGGTGCACACAGTCAGGATAGTGAATTCATCTCATTGCCAAAAAAATACATAAATAAATAAAAAATAAATAAATCTGCTAGTTCTGCAGCTGATAAAGGAATGTCTAGTTCCGTGCTGAAGAGAAAATAAACCAGAGCAACACTTATTGTCTTGGATGACATTTTGTCTGTTTGTTCAGAGTGAAATRTTAGAAGCTGGATTATACAATTCATTTATTGCTTTTCTAAGACAACACAATCTGAGAGCTGGGTGTGATTCAGTGACCATGGGTTTCACAAGGCTGAATATTTCTCTATTTTTGTAGTCCTTTTGGTAGAAAATGTCAAGTTTTTTTTCTTTTCCTCGCCACATTTGCACGCGCACAGCCAGAGTCAGTAAACACACAAGCACAAAAACCAGGAGGCGGAGTGCTTGTCATGTCTGTTAAAGAATAAAACAAGGTGCCATTTAAAGTCTGCAGGCAATTTATTTAATGAACCGTGGTCGTCGGGTTAGACTCTTTTAAGAACTGTCATGTTCTTTCCTGTCAGTGTCATCTGCACTTTAATGCAGTTCTAAGCTTTTATTGTCTGGTACAGGTGAGCCAGTGCTAGATATGAACTTCTTTCAAAGTTTAATCATGTATTTGCCAAATTTACGTTCCCAGATGGTCATAAGATCAGCCCTCAGCGGTCACTACGTCTGTCAGTGTGGTGGATGTCCACTTTCATCCATCCTCTGCCAGCATTTAATATTCAGTCAATGAAGATTGTTTTCATAATTATCTCTATTAATCAGTCGGCCATGATCACGATTTTCCTCTTATGGTTGCTTCGGCTACCCTGAACCAATCTGCTGACAAAACTCTAGCCCATCCAAAATGTTCAAAGCTACTAACATGATCTTTCTTCCTCATTATGATGCTTATTTCAGACTTGATTAGATTGTCTACCACTATCTGTGCTAGCAAATAATGATAAAAACACAAATAAGTGTGTAAATATACACATAAATAAAGTTGCAAATGTCATATGACATCTAAATAACCTTTCCATAAGCTCATTACAAAGGATTTGTACTGTCATTTTAAACTGGCAGCTGTAGCCAATAAAGTGGCTGCGTTATCGTGACATTGTAATACACTCAACAGTCTTAACAAAGTTGAGTGACTCCGCCACTAAAAGTTAGTCTGTGTGTCCTTGGATCTGCTTATTGTAGCAGAGCTGTGTGTTTGCAAGTGTAATGCAGTGTTTATTTTCTCACAGCGTTGCGTGACTTGGCTGTTTGCCGGCACACTAATTTTTCACCTCCTGTATCGGTTACAGTTATTAATGGTAATGAATATTTAGCAGAATTAACGCAGCATCAGTTGGTTATTTGCATGTGATTCTAATTGAAATGAATCTTTCAGCCTTGGCTTCATTGTAACTCAGTGAGCGGAAATTGGCGGAGCTAAACAGAGAGAAAGTTATGAAATGAAAACAGATCCACATCTGTGGCTGTTAAACAGTAGTTGTTGATTTCACAGCTTCCTGTTTTTATTTTCAGAGACCGATACTGTGAGAAACTGTAAGCCGTTGTTCCAAGCCTTTCTTCAGGGGTCTTCTTCATCTGTATCAGGATCTGTTTTTATTGCTGTGATTCAAAGAAGGAAATTTTAGGCTAAATTTGTTTTTCAGTGAATGTTCTTGTTAAGACATTAAAGGGGTGGCAAGTCCTTTTTTTTTCCCACTGAAATGCCGAACCTACGTTTATCTTAACCTTTTTTTTTTAAATATTG